CCCCAAAACCCCAAAACCCCAAAACCCCACCATACTAATAATTTTAAATAAGCAGAGATATTATAATTTAACCAAAGATTACAGTGTAAATATAATCATGGAACAAGAAGAGGAGTTCAAAACCCCGCAAGCCTCCGATAATTTTGACTTAAATCTTAAAAATCAAATTGAGCTCCTAGACACGTCCAATGTGCCTTTTCAAGACTTGAGCACTTAGTCACAATACTCCTCAAGCCAGCAGGACATCCTGGCCATGATGAATAAAGTGTATGCAAATCACTTGAGTTAGAATCAGCTCTCAGGCTGCATAATGCCATCATTCGAGTCTCCTTCGATATCTGAGAAGCGATCCGACCAAGCAACCGACTATAAACCCACCAAAGTGTTATTTGTCAGAGGTCTGCCCTATGATATTACAGAGGCAGAACTTATGAGAATACTTTCTTAATACGGATGTATTGAGAGGGTGCTGATTCTGATATAAAAAGCACATGCCTTTGTTTAATTTAGCTCACTTTAAGAGGCTGCTGGCTGCGTGCTAGACTAAGAAAATCTGTATATCTACAATAAAAAGGTGCATATCAGTTACTCTGGAAGAGAATACATCTAGGATGATAGAGTGAATCAATTCAGCAGTCTGAATCAGAGCAAAATAATTCTTGTGACGATCACAAATATTAGATATCCTGTGAATGCTGATGTGCTATTCACAACTTTTCATAAGTTTGGCGAACCTTAACGTATCGTTATATTCCCAAGGTAACTTGGTGAATAAGCATTAGTTGAATTTGCTAGCGTAGAGCAAGCTAAGAAGGCCAAGCAAGAAATGGATGGTAAAAGTATATATTCTAATTCAAGCAATCTAATGAAAATCTAGTTTTCAGAGATGAAAAAATTAGAAATCAACTCATAAAATGATAAGGCAAGAGATTATACAGTTTAATCTGTTGAAAACTATATCTCTAGCAATTAACCTGCCGCTAATAACTTTAACAGCTAAGGTTTGACATAGGATCAAATGAGTAAGTCTGAATTTGAGTCACTGTTTACAAAAGCATTTAAGGATGTGAAGTCAAAAATGAATTACTAATTTTCATTGTCCTCAAACAAGTAATTAACATAAAATTCCTAGAGCATAGAGGGAGTAGTAAATAATGAAGAATATAGTGAGGATTCAATTTTTACATTTGGACTGGATGACTTTTAATTAGATCAATTAAAGCCAAAATAGCCAATGTAAGTTAATCAGCCAAATGAATTCCAGAGATAGCATCCATTTGCACAGATAAAATAACAAAATGATTAAAATTTAGCTTTACAAAATTAATAATAAAGTGATTCCCACCAATAGCAGCCTCAATTCTATCAGCAGAGCTCTAAAGTACTAATAGTATCTAACTTACCTAAATCTACGAATCCATACTAACTATTCAAACTCTTTGGATTATATGGTAATGTTTAGAGAGTAAAAATAATGTTTAAGAAAAGGGACAATGCCTTGGTGGAGTTTTAGGATATCCTATAGTCTCAATAAGCAAAATAATACCTAAATGGAATCACGTTTTTCAGTCACACTATTTAAGTTAATGACTCTAAATACCAAACCATAACTATCCCTGCACTTATGTCAAGTGAAGAAGCTTATCTTACTCAAGACTATACATATTCTAAGGAGCATAGATATAAGGTCTAAGGTTCTAAAAATACTCAGAATATTGCTGTAAGATACTTAACCTTCTTAAATTCATAATAATTTAGGCACCCAGTAAGATTCTGCATGTCTCTAACTACCCCCATTAATATAATGATGAGGTTAAATTCAGAAATTTATTCTCATAGATTGCTTCTCCAGTAGTGATGTAGTTTTTCACGAATCAAGGCAAAAACATGGCCTTTGCCAAATTCAAAAATGTTGATGAGGCTGTTAGAGTGCTCATAAACTTTCACAACTTCTCGATAGATGGAAAGTAAGGAAATATATCTAAAATTTAACATCTGCTATAGACATCTTAAGCTATCTTTTTCTAAAACAAATATATGAAAAAGTCGAATTATACTGTACAAACTAAGTCATTTACCTATGAAATGGCATTATTTCTCTTCTCTCTCTAAATCTTGTAACTATTTAGTCAATAAATATATTGAATAAATTTACTTCATAACATTAACAGCTAGAGTTTTGCATTTTTAATGCCACGGGGTTTTGGGGTTTTGGGGTTTTGGGG